AGTGATAGTCGAGGATAAAAGCATCTGCTCGATAACAACACCAATGCCTAGTTTGAACTTTGAAGACTTGGGTAAAGAGAACTGTTTCAACAGTACAGAGGACAAAGAATCAGCATCGTCTAGAAAGCTGAGAATTCAAAACATATTCACGCTTTGTGGCAATCAGAGAGAGCTGTCTCAACACATTGGACAAGAGGACGGTCAAGCTGATAAGAAGGATGATCAGTTGTGGTCTATAACTAATAAGGCCGAACCACTAGCAGTAGAAGAAGCAAAGGAAAACAATATCTCTGCCGATGAATGTAAAAACGGGCAGATATCTATCTATGTTAAATGGGAAGCAACTACTGATAACCCTCGAAAGCAGCTCATAACAACACTGAGAGTTACAAAGGACGCAACACTAGCTGACTTGAGGAAGCTTATTGAGATCTACCTTGGATCTGATAACCAAGCTTTTACCTTTATCAAACTCGGGGTAATAAACTCGTAACCCAATAAAGCAAAAAAAAACCTTTACATTTTTGCCTGTTTGTTGTTATATTCTGATACTAAATGCAGTTTTCATTTCAATGTTTGAAGGAACCATGTGGAGCTCAAGTGCCGAAGGAGAAAGAATCAACAGTTCAAGCTACGAGCCTGCCTGTCTGCAACGGACACACTTACATCGCTATTCTCAGACCGGGAAAGAGCCTACAACTTCAAAATCTTGCACCAGCAAGTCCACTTCCACTAACTCCTATAGAAAACAAGATGCAGTTTACGCCCATCTCAAGAGTGACACCAAACCACCAAGTTGATGAACTTTCATCACCAAAACTCGTAGCTCATCTCAGCTCCACTCCATTCATCACTCTCAGAAGACATTAGTCGCTATGTCTTCTTCTTCTTTTGTCTGTTCTACGGTAGCCTTAGGGATGTAACCTTTGTCTATTTTTCTCAGTGTTGGAAAAATACTATATGTACAACGACAACACATCTTCATCAATATATTCTACGGTATTTCAGCAGAAGCAGAACACAGTGTCCAATTCATTATTTGCACAGCATGTGCCAATCTTCATACTTCATTAATGTTTTGGGAACTTCAATACATTTTCATATTACAGTTTTAATTTTATTCTGCGAAGGCGAGATAGGTTTTCATATTTTCATTCTACATTGAAGTTCTAGAAAACAGAATGATAAAAAATGTGAGGTACTCATTTCACAAGTTACACTTTAAAGATATATGAACAATTTCTTTTTAAACACAGACAATGAGAGATTGGGAGAAGCTGATTATATT